GATCACGGTACACAATTCGTGTCCAGTGAATTCCAAAATTTTTTAAAGTTGAATGGTATTATTCATAAGATGGGAGCACCATACCATCCCGCCACTAATGGGCAGGCGGAAAGGTTTGTTCAAACGATAAAAAAACAAACTTTTGGCTACTAAATGCAAAGATTCTACTGGCGTATAGAAGGGCAATTCACCCAGCGACGGAGAAGTCACCATCCATGCTTATGCTCGGGCGCCAAATGCAGTCCCGATTAGATTTACTTCTACCACAAAACGAGCAAATTGTCTACGAACGCAGAGCGGTGACGGCAAAATTTGTGACAGGAGAGAGAGTGGCAGCACGGGAGTATCTTGCGAGCGAAAAATGGCGTTTCGGAACGATAGTCGAGGTGTTGGGAGAGTTGCACTACAACATTCGATTAGACGACGGTCGGGTTTGGAAGAGGCATGTCGATCAGCTGAGGAAGGTAGGCAGTAAGATGACCACAGAAGTAGCGGGTGATCAAGCAGTATTGCCTGAGGCGGACACATCTCAGCCGGTATGCCATAACCCNGTAAGATGACCACAGAAGTAGCGGGTGATCAAGCAGTATTGCCAGAGGCGGACACATCTCAGCCGGTAGGCCATAACCCAGATAAAAGCTTCGTTCTAGGTGCAGACCAAACACGGGAATTCCAACCCTCATCGGAAATTAGGTTACCGACAACTGACACGCCAACGCAGACAACGCCTAACCCTTCGAAGGAAGCAATTCAAGAAGCCGAAATGGGAGGCGGGCCAGCGACACCAGCAAACGTTGAAGCTGACCAACTCCGCCGATCAAAACGAGCACGGAACATACCAATACGTTTTCGATAATCAAGCATTTTTCATTCTGTGCATTTTCAATGTTCATTTAAAGTTTATCAAATCATAAATTTTAATTTTTTTCAATTCTAATCTAATGTTAAGTTATCAAGGCTTGGAAGTATTTAGGCGGGGAGAAGTGTCGTATATATGTGTGCATATAGATACAAATACTGAACGTTATGAAATACAACCCTAACGTAAGAAACAAGAGAATATGTAACTAGCTATAAGAATGAAGTATGAAAAGATATGAATAAAGAGCCAGTCTCGTAACAGCATTCGGAACCGTTGGTTATATCAGTTACATCACTGGGGCGGTAGCCCCAGTTAGGTCACACAGAAAGGAGAATTCTACGTAGTAAGGGTTATAATCCCTAATCGCGGCCGAAGGCCGCCTACGCAGAAAGTAAAAATTGCCATTTTTGGCCATTTTTCTAAGGGGTCCGTAGGGAACCACAGGGGGCCTAGGTGGTCGGAGGTTGCATTTTTGTCAATGGCGGTTCATGCCCTCTCCAAAAAGGGCGGTTGGAGGTGCCACGCCCACTCCCCCTTCGCCCACCGCACCTTTAACGAACGGCCATAATGGAAAGTTTCCCCGAGAGTTGTGTAGAGAATGAGTTGCAAGATTTTACCCAAGGCGAATTAATNGTTCTTAACACCCCCGCCCAGTTTCTTAACGAAATTCGTGATAGTTTTGTGAAAATAGCCAAAACCGTTAGTTAAATACTATTACTAATAAAGTGAAGAGTGATAAATGATGTAAATATGTACGTTTCTGAACATCCCCCCAAAGTTGCATGACAAAATTCGTGATGGTTTTGTGAAAACACCCAAAAACCTATGAATGGAAAGCCAACCCAATTCGTGTAACATCGGTAAAGTTTCATGAGAAAATTCGCGATAGTTATGCTAAAACAAACAATTGTTGATGTTACCTAAGATCAATCCCCCCTCCCCAAGTCATTGAACAAATGACCAAACCCTACCCACGGTATGAGTCAACAGGATGTGCATAAACTTTGTTTTTATAGATGAATAATCTAACATTTCATTAAGTACGCCCGCAAATTATGGCTACGTTTCTTTATACATTCCGGATAATCCCATTTCACAGCCGGAATAAACAGAATGCGTTTGAAATATACGTCAACATATAATCAGGAACGTTCTAAGGAATAAGTAAACAAAAAAGTTTATTCCAAACGTTCAGAATGAATAAGGAAATGCAGCCTATAATTAACACCGGTCTTGTTTCGGTGGTATAAACTTTGTAACTTCAATGGGCTTTGAGTGACTTACATATGTATGTATGTAGCTACAATCCAAAACCGGCCAATAGAAATACTAAATTAAAAAAGGCAAAAGTATTGCTAAAATTTATGTATACCACTTTAATAAGGAGCTTGCACAGTTTCTTCAAACTTTATCATCTGAGATGTTATTTATACTTTTTATTTACGAAGACCGAAACTTTCACACAATATACAACACCCCACACTTTCGGCATTTCTTTTTAACTGAAAAGAGTAGGAATGTAAAGCACCTGTCAGACGTGGCAATATTTTCTTCTTTCGCACGCAATTCGCTGTCAAATTGAGAAAGAGAAATTTTATTTCGATGTGTGAACAGCCAGAAAGATCTTTCTGTCACCTTTCGGAAATCAGTTTCAGAAATAAAAGTTGCAGGGTGGGACTGCAACTGCAAGAGCGAAAATCGATTTCGGAAATATATTTCAACTTGCTCGTGCTGCACTAGCAATTTTTATTTCTTCTGCAAGTGCTGTCAAACTAATCGAGTGTTGCCATGTGGCCCTGATCGTGAATTTGTGTAAAATGATAAAAAATATTGTTGAATTAAATATCAAAAATGCTTGAAATATATTATTTTGCTTAATTTACTTAATCGTTAAGTTATTGTTTACACGGTAAATATGTTAATTATAACCTATATTTTCTCGCTTTTACAAGAGAAATAGCAAACAAACCACAACCCCACCGCTCATGGTTGCATTTTAGTATCGAGAAAGATTGCCAGAAGCTCATTCGCTGTGTGAACAGCCAAAAAGCGATTTCAGAAATTTTTCCTGCAATTCGCCGTTCGGAAATAAAAACCTCTTTCGAAAGACACTTTCCATGCAAGGTGTGACTGCTCATGCAACTGATTTCTCAATTTGACAGCCTTTCCGAAATTTATTGCATGGAAATATATTGCCACGTCTGACACGCTCTTAAGAAACATCGCTATTATTTACTGAGATCGCTAAATCGAGCAACATCGATGGTCGTTGCTTCAAACCAGTGTTGCCAGTAACACCTTTAATAAAATCCCGTTCAAATATAACCTAAACTCGTTTTATACTAAAGTAATAATAGAAATCCCGCGCTATATGTATCTATTATACATAAAATGCTTTCGGATGTACATACACAGATATGCAATATACATAGGAACTATACGGGTCATTCCACGTCAAAAAGCATGCGTCTCTGCCCAAAATCTTGAAGTTCACCTAGACGAACTATTAAAACCTAAAAGTAAATCCAATCCAACTGATTCAAATTTTCTGTGAAATATTATCGAATTCCAATATCACGGAAAGATCTTTAGATAAATCGTAACTTCCGAAATTGTCTATTGATTTTTATAAAGGTACTTAGTTCTACTTTGAATAAAACATTATTTTCAATGTAGTGACTAAAAGAGACTATTTTCTTTTGATATTTTGCCAAAAAATAACCAAAATTTGTGTAAATTTCAGATTGACCTAAAAATGTTCCATATTTTTCAATATACTCACAAAACTTATTATTTCTTAAAATAGTATAAGTATCCTTCTTTTCAAAGTCATATAAAAACTTAAAATGGGTTAAAATATAACCGAGCAAGAAGTTATTTAGTGCCGGTAGTCATGCGAAAATAATTTTTTTAAGAATAAGTTGAGAATTTCAAGGTGTTAGAAAAATTTTAAGCGCAGTTTCGTGAATTAATTGACCAGCCCTACGACCTGTACTAAGTCAATTAAACAGTTCATGATCAGTGTAACATAGGGTTGCCAGACGTACTGCTTTCGGGAGTAAACGTACTCCTTTTTATTGCAATGTACTCCCATGTAATCCCAAAAAAATATATCTGGAAATGTACTCCTTTATTAGTTTTGTACTTCTTTTGTACTCCTTTTTCCAGCTTTTAATATTTTATCATATACAGGGTGTGAAATAATAACTATTGTACTTTTTTTTTTGAAAAATAAAATTGGTCTTTATAGATTTTGCGAAAAAAGTAGTTCATTGTTAACTATCCACAGATTTTACTTTAATTTTATTAATTCGTTTTTAAATTTTAACCATCATTTGGGTTTACCGGCGATAAACACTTTGAGACAAAAGCGCAACTAAAAAAAGTCGTTATTGTATAGTTTTTAAATTTAACCCTTATTTGGGTTTACCAGGAGGTTTATACCATGTCCCCACCAAAAAGTTAACCATCTCAAGTCGAACTTAACCACATTACTAACTATTGCTGTCCACACTGCGGTTTGAGGTTTATAAAACAGTACAAATGTAGGGAACAGTGTTCGGACCTCCAAAACTCGATTCAGGACTAAATCGCTGCAAAAATTGGAGCAAAAACTAATTTTTCGTACTAGAATGAATTTTTTATTTTCGTTTCTAACATTAATTGTTTGACTTAAATATTTTCTATTCATGCAAAAATAAGAACGCGAGGCAATGTAAGGATAATATGTTACATATTTAGGTAATTTTTAGCATTTTCTGTAAAGTAGAACGTATCTAACTCTTAATTTTTTAAAGAGCAATAGGATCTAAACCTTTTCTACTTTATATAAATTTCATTCTACGTATATTTTTTAACTGCTTTATTTAAGTTCTGCATCCGCCAATTTCTACAGCCATACATCAAAAAATAACGAAGTTACTTTATTGACGCATTGCTATGAAAGAGTTTCTTTTTAACAGTGAGAATTGGCTAACTTTCAATTTTTTTACTGAAACCGGTGGTGAACACGCAAAAAAAGGCCCCAAGAGGGTCATAACATGAATAAAAAAAACGGAATAGATTTGAAGTCAAGCGGAGTAGAGAAGTAGATACCAAATTTTTTTTAAAAACCGGACTAAATCTAATCTGATCTTAGTTAAGTCCAAACACCAGTAGGGAACGAATTTTTTACATTTTAACGCAAATGACCCACAGATGGCGGGAAAACACAGGGTTGTATCAGACTTTCGACGTGGTTTCGAGTTGATTAGCTTTTAACCATCTCAGTGAAATGGTTAAGTGCTGTCATTTTTATATGGCGAAACAACGCTAGATCAAGTGGGTTATCGGGATAACCAACTCAACAGCCATAACTACGTGGTTAAGCTCTGGTGGGGACATGGTATTAGGAGAAAAGCGCAAGCGGCACGCAAGTCTTCGTCGGTTACTTTATTACATATCTTCTGTAACCATCGGCTATTTTCCTCCCACTAGGAGGGAATTCATTCAACCAACCCTATACAGTTTTTTTTTCTTTATACAAAATCTAAGAAAAAATACACCTGAAAAAGAGGTGTGTGCCGCATGTACTTATCTCCCAAAGCTGGCAAATGCAAATAAGGATTAAAATTTTAAAACCAATCAATAAAATTAAAGTAAAATACTTACAAAGTTAACAAAAAAATACTTTGTTTAACAAAATCTATAAAGAACCCTTTTATTTTTCAAAAAACCTGTGCGGCAGTTATTATTTTAGGCCATGTACTTTGCCATTCATATTGTGGCAAACACTACTTAGGGCCGGTTGTTTAATGTCTGGTTATCACTACTTGCCGGTTAAACATCATTATCGACGATTTCGACATCATGCATATAACATGTGATCGATAAAGCAGTCGTTGTATCTAACCGGAGCTTCTAATCAGACATTGAACAACCGGCCCTTAGTAAGTAAAGTTAAGTGTTACTATGTTTATACGTAAGCTATTTGCAAATAAAAATAATTTGCAAATACTTAACTCACTGTTTATTCGATGGTGAAAAATTCTTTTTAATATTGCCTGATTATAAAAAGGCAACAATATGACTTTCGAAAAAGAAAATAAAGTTAAAAATGGCAACGTCTTGATTATAAAAAGGCATTAAGATGACCACCGAAAAAGAAAACGAACCTAAGAATGGCGGCGTCTTGCGCTTATTTGCAAATAGTACCACTAATCAATACTTATTTGCGTGATTTAGTTATTTGCAAATAAAAAAAATACTCAGCGTTTATACGGCAAAGTTTACCATTTTGCAAATTCTTATTTGCAAATAATACGTGCGTATAAACGTAGTATGTGATAGTGAAAAAGTGTAAGCATGGTCGTAGCAAGCTAGGCGCAGGGCGCTCGGATATAAAATCAGAAAAATTGTAATTATTTATAAAGCTTAATTTAATAAAATGGCCATACATTCAGGAAGAGTCTGGAATACTTTCCTATAAGGGCGGTCATTGAAGAGGCGGTGAGCGAAACGGTAGTGGGCTTGGCACCTCCAACCCCCACCTAGGCGCCCTATGGATCCCAGGAACCCCTTAGAAAAATCGCCAAAAATCACAATTTTCACTTGCGTCCACAGAATTTTTGCGTAGAATTCGGTTAAGGATTATAACCCTTACTACGTAGAATCTTCCTTTCTGTGTTGCCGAAGAAGAGAGGAGGAACCCCTCTCTTCGTCAAAAGTATATAACATTTCTTTTGGATATAATTCCGGCTTCGGTGTCCAAAGTATTTTTGCACTTAACTCCTTTCTGCGTAGGCGGCCTTCGGCCGCGCTTAGGGATTATAACCCTTATTAAGTAGAATTCTCCTTTCTGTGTTGCAGGGGAAGAGGGGCAGGCGCCTCTTTTGTTTTCAAGGGTATATAAAATGTCCCGTGCAAATGAATATTCAACCTTTTTCAAACGAAAAAACGCAAGTAAAAACTGTGACTTTTGGTAATTTTTCTAAGGGATCCGTAGGGAACCACAGGGGCCCTAGGTGGTCGGGAGTAAAATTTTTGTCTATGGCGGTTCATGCCCTCTCCAAAAAGGTTGGAAAAGGTGCCACGTCCACTCCCCCTTCGATCTCCATCTCTTCAACATCCACACCTATTGGAAAGCCAACCCATATAGTTATTTATTTTTCACATTTATTGTTGCTTTGAAAAAGATTTTTAAGATATCTTTTTTGTTAGTACCTAATTAATGGTAATTCGTAACAATAAATTGCACAAAAAAATAAAAAAAAAATGTGCTCCTTTCTTATGTCATGTACTGCTTTTTTCCTATTGTAGTGTAATAAAATCACTCAAAATATTTTTGCATTAATCGTTTAAAACAAGTGCGGAATCTAGAAACTCAAAATATCCAAATTAATTTTGGATAACTCATAAAATTGCTATTAAAATTCATTTCAAGTGAATAAAGTTCCGCTGATAGAATTCATATGAACGCCGTTCTTTTACCACAGAGTATGCCAGCTTTTTCTTATTTATCAATAATGAAATTTTATTACTTGGTATGAAATGACAAAATTCCGTTTTTCGTAAAAAAATCCCATTTGCCCTTTTGATCATAAAATCCCGAAAAAGGGGCGAAATCCCGCAAACTGGCAATACTGCTTCAAACATCGATGTTTGTCGATGTTTTTATGAATCCCATGCACAGTATAAAGGCTGATTCACATACAACTTTCTTCGCGTTGCTTGATAGTTTTTTGCTTTGACATATAAGATCGCATGAACCAATTAGAACAGATCTGACCGGTTGAGAAGCAGCCATTTGTAATAGCAATTGAGAAAAATGTGTGTGACGTTCGTAATTTTGAAGTTTGCTATTTCTGTTTTGCTTCTTTCTTTATGTGTATTTTGTCGGTGGTTTATTTCAGTGATTTTTAAGTGATTTTTTGTGCAAATGTAATTAAAATGAAGTGCGCGGTGATTGGATGCAAAAACACGTACAAAAATAATAGATTGGTTAGCACAAACATGTGCACAACACTGCTTGCATTTTTTCTTTATGCTTCGTCTTCATATTCTTTGTTTACTTTTCACAGAAAATAACATGCCGCCGAAATTACAAACGTCAGCCAGAAAATTACTTTTTTCTTTTGCTCCATCTTGTCAGATCTTGTGTAGTTGGATCATGATAAGATCGATGTAGGCATATGCATGAGTATTCTCACATAAAAAACGTTTGTAGCAAAGCAAAGCAAAACGAAGCAAAATCTTGGGCAACTCTCAACTTTTGCCCGCTTTGGCAATCAGCTGTCTACATGTATATTTTCTCGTGCGCTTGCATTTGCATTTAATGACAAAAATAGGGTAAACAGGAACTTTTATTGCTATTATTAATGTACATTATTATATTGCTATCTATTTTACAGATAAAAAATATGGAGGAAAAGGAGAACGCAAAAGCTGTCAAAGCGTTTATTGTAGCATACCTTCTGCGTTTCACGCTTTGTTGTTAAAGTTTGAACTGTCAAGCAAAGCGAGGAAAGTCTTATGTAAATGGCCCTTAAGGTTCTTTCCCGTACGCAACGCGGGACCCGAGGGTGCCAAAAACAGGCCAGAAATCATTGCCGTACTCAGCAAAATGGGTAAAAAGGTGTTCGCACGAGGCGATTTTGCGTTCAACTTTTGCGTTCAACTCTCGCAGGGTTGCACGAAAAAAAAGTTGAATGGCTAAATGTTGGCTGGCGACCAACTTTGTTGGCAGCAATTCGTCGAAAGGCCGTTCAACCAAAAGTACAATGCAAAGTTGAACAATGCAAACGCCTTTTTTATGGGGAATATTTTTATATTTTGATATATTTAGCCATTTAATTATTTTTTCGTGCAACCCTGCGTGAGTTGAACGCAAAAGTTGCCTGAAAAAGCGCCTCGAGCGAAAGCCCTATTGGATGCATGGTAATTCTGCAACGTTGTTGACGTGTTTGTAATCGCTCTGCGGAAAATTAAAAAAAAACAGCCGAATTGTTGGGATTTTAACCAGCGTTAGAGACAGTGACTTAAATAGCGAAGTGCTAATAAATTGTGCTATTTGCAAGCACAAAAATTTGTTTCATTTTGCTTAAACAAACAAATAAATATAGCTAGAGACATAAAAGTGCAGTGAGGTGACAAAAACAATAAGGCGCGAAAATGGATAAATGCCATAAGTGCAAGAATCCAATTCGCGGTGACAGCGGAATCCACTGCGACGGTGTGCGTGGTAAAGTGTGGCACTGGGCAAAAAAATGCTCTGAATCGGATGAGTACAGTGCGAATGTACTCAAAGAAAACAACTTTGTGCGCTTTATGTGTAACCAATGTCACACATACATGCATAACATCGATGAGGTGCTCCGAAATATGAACTTAACAATAGAGAAAAATAGTCAAAAGATCCAAGAGTGTAATGATGACTTCCAGGAGTCGCAAAAAATGCAAGTGAAAGAGCTTAAACTTCTCTTGCAATCAATAGAGAAACAATTTGGGGAACGTATTGATGCAATGCAAAGAGTAGAAATAACCTGTGAGGCGAGTATTATCGAAGTGAACCAAATTAAGTCAATAGCTGACGGCGTAAAAAAGCAAAGCCATGATCTTTGCGAAGCCATAGTGCGCAATGAAAATGAGAACAAAAAAATTTGTGAAGAGATAAAGAAATCGGTGACTGCTGACGCGTTAGCAGGTCAGCGGGCGAAAGCCACTTACGCGGATCTCTTTAAAGGTAACACTGCGAAAGATAATAGGCTGCGGAAAGTAAATAAAGAGAAGCCATTAGCTCTACAACCAAAAGAGAAGCAGGAAGTGGGAAAAACAAAAGAAGATTTGAACAAAAATGTTGACCCCTCGGGCTTGAAAATTAATAGTGTACAGGGGAGGAAAAGTGGGGCTGTAGTAATACAAACAGAAAATGAGGCTGAGCGTGAAAAAATCAAAAAGGCAATAGAGAATAAAATGAGTGATAGATATGAAATAAAAATCCCAAACGTAGCCAAGCCAAGGTTCATGGTATATAGAATGAGCTTTAAACATGAGAATGAGCAGCTCAGGGATATGATAAAAAAACAGAATGAATGCTTCAAAAATGGTAATTTCAAAATNATCAAAAAGGCAATAGAGAATAAAATGACTGATAGATATGAAATAAAAATCCCAAACGTAGCCAAGCCAAGGTTCATGGTATATAGAATGAGCTTTAAACGTCAGAATGAGCAGCTTTCGGATATGATAAAAAAAACAGAATGAATGCTTCAAAAATGGTAATTTAAAAATTTTGAAATGTTTTGAAACAAAAAGGGGCAATGCAAAACATTATAATGCGTTAATAGAAACAGATGTAGATGCCTTTGCAGCCGTGCTGGCAAGCGAAAAAATAAACATAGGTTGGGAAAAATGTAGAGTCAAAGATGGAATGGATGTTACTTTCTGTTTCAAATGCAAGGGATATAACCAAATAGCTGCGAAATGTAAAGCCGATGAGGTATGTTTCAAGTGCCTAGATAACCACAAAACTGTGGAATGTTCTAAGGAAACATTAAACAAATGCATAAACTGCATTCGTGCTAATAAAAAATTTAACTTAGGGCTTGATGAAAATCATATGACATTTAACCGACAGTGTCCTGTATACCAGAAAAAGCTCGAGCATAAAAGAAATACTGTAAATTACTAACAATTACAGCAAGTTTGTGGGGACCCTGGCGTTGAGTTTACGTCTCACCCAGGTGTAAAGAAAGCGCTACCCAAATATTTGCAATGCGTATATCTCAATATACAGAGTTTAGTGGCTAATAAAGTTGAGCTAGAAATACTTATAGATTTTACCGACCCGGATCTACTTTTGTGTTCCGAAACATGCCTAACTGATGGCATAGAGGATACGGAAATAATGTTCCCGGCGTATCAGATGATACGCTGCGACTCACACAGTAGACACACAGGGGGAGTGATAATACTCGTTCAAAACACGCTCGGTTTTAAAACAATAACTAACAAGGCTTTAGACAAAAATGTTTAGTGTATAGTTATTCAACTCACACACTGTGATTCCAAGTGGCAGCTCGGGGTGGTTTATCACTCCCCAAGCTAAAGTAATGCGGGATTTGTTACATATATGGACGATATCTTAGCAGAAAATTCTGTGAACGCTGTTGTCATTGGCGATTTTAACATAAACATGAACGTAGTATCAACCTACAACAACAATGATGTTTTCTTGCAACAAGCCATGCAACAGCTGATAAATTTTAATACGAGGGTGACGGAACATTCGGAAACACGTATTGACTTGTTGTATTCCAATGATAACCGAGTTATATGCCAAAAGGTCGAGGATCATAGAATATCTGACCACGAAACAATAATGTTTCGACTAAATGTCAATAAACTTAACCCACTTGCTAAGGAGGCAGAAGTAATATCCTGGGAGAGATATAACCCTGAGAACTTAACAATTTTACTAAGGCATTGCGATTTCTCGAACTTAAATTTTTTCGATGCTGACGGTATGGTGGAGTATATTACTCATTGCATTATGTGGGCCATGAGGCAGTTGACTTACTCAAAAATAACTCGCATTAGGCAGAGGAACAAATGGTATGATAGGCAATTGACAGAGATGAACAAGTATAAATCTAAATCCCATGAGAAAGCAGTGTTGTCAGGGTACTGGGGTGAATATAATTTAGTGAGAAGCAGATATAAGAAAATGGTAAGGTGTAAAAAAATTAAATACTTAGAGCATAAGGTGGAAATAAATAAGGGTGACAGCCGACTCATGTGGAAATACTTAAAGGAGGTAGTCAATAACACGGAGGTCAAAGAAAATATTGGGGAAGTGATAATAAATAACACCAACTACGTAGACAGCTTTGAAATTGCGGAAAACCTAAATAATTTTTTCGTGGGCAGCATTTTGGAAATACATACCAATATAGAGTGTGTAAACTATGATTTTTTCGAGCAACGAGCTCCCACAAGTACGCTAAAATTTGAAGAGGTCTCAACGGAAGACATTCTTCAAATTGCCAAAAAATTTAAGCGGAAAATTGGGGGAAACAACCTACTTTCTGAAGGTGTTATTAAGGACTCTGCTGATTATATGGGATATTTCTATGCCCTACTTATAAATAAGAGTCTCCAGACAGGACCAGTACCGGAAAAATGGAAAATTTCATCAATAGTGCCCGTCAAGAAAGTTAGAAAAACGGTTAAAGCTGAGGAGCTTAGGCCCATCAATACTCTCCCTAGCTTGGAAAAAATGCTAGAAACCGTTGTGAAAAACCAGCTACAGTACTATGTGGAATCCAATAAAATACTCATAAAAGAACAATCTGGATTCAGAGCTAAACATTCCTGTGAGACTGCGCTGAATCTGGTGCTTTCTCAATGGAAAGAAGATCTGAACAGACACCTTAATGTAGTGGCAGTGTTTATTGATCTTAAAAGAGCATTTGAAACCGTTGATAGGGTCCGAATGTTGGATAAACTAAAATACATTGGTATAAAAAACACTGAGCTTGACTGGTTTAGAAGCTTTCTATGTAATCGTAGGCAACAAACAATAGTTAATTCAAAGATGTCTAGTAAGATAGCCGTAGACATCGGATTACCACAGGGCTCAGTTTTGGCACCCCTACTCTTTAATATATATATAAACGATATTAAAAGTTCTCTCAAACATTGTAAAATAAAACTCTTTGCGGATGATGCCTTGTTAACGATCAGTGATAGGGAACTACCAAATGCGATTGTCAAAATGCGAGAAGATCTTAATTATTTGTATCAGTGTTCAAATAAACTAAAACAGAATGTGAGAAAGACTAACTTTATGGTATTTTCCAGAGCGGCAAATGCTGATTCCATAAGCCGCGAATTAAAAATCAAAGACGAAAATATCGAAGAGGTGAAAAGTGTCAAGTACCTAGGAATATACATAGACAACAAACTAAATTTTTATGAGCACGTTGAGTATGCAGTCAACAAGATTGCTAAAATAATTGGCCTTATAAAGAGATCGTGTAAGTACGTGGGAAGAAGATATAAAACGTTTGTGTACAGGTCAATAGTAGAACCGCACTTTATATACTGCCCACGTATGTAGATAAGCTGCAAAAAATGCAAAACCGAGCGATGAGATTCATCCTCAACAAAACGTATGACACACCAACAAGATGTATGCTTGAAACCTTGAATTGGTTAAGCGTGAAGCAACAAGTTTTTTACCACGCTATGAAATTTGTGTACAATATTAAGAAGGGCAACCTGCCGGATTATCTTAGCGATAATCTCCGATATATAAATGAGACGCATACATATTTGTTGAGAGAGAATAACAGCTTCAGACTCCCGAAGTATAGANACGTATGTAGATAAGCTGCAAAAAATGCAAAACCGAGCGATGAGATTCATCCT